ATTTCCATTGGAGGACTTGTGTTCTTCAAGTCTGAAGAATTGATCAAGAACACATATGATCAGGAATAGTTATCCGAACAAAGATATGAACTTTAAACCCCTAACATGTCTACTGCATGATTCATGGGTTAAACATGATTGAGGGTAGGCAAAGGTTGCTTATTCTGCACAAATTTTTTAATTTTTCCCTCTTTTATGTTCATAGCCTACAGTAGGCTACTTTCATCTCACACATGCGAGGCTATATGTTCATGCATTAAGTCTAGCATACCATCTAAAATCTTAAAATGCAAAATATGCAAAATGCATGGTACACTCCAATGGCTTTACTCCACATCACTCGGTGGGCCTCTTGCCCAACACTCCTGTACCGCTAGATGAGCCTGAAATATAGCCCCATAACATGGGGTGAGATATACTAATATATCTCAGTAACCCAAAGGTTCTGGAGGATCAATCTGCCTAATGGCTCACTCAGATGTACAACAGCAGCAATAATACAGATATAAATGGAACATGCAAAACATATACGGCAATACGACATAAACATACAACAATCTCAATCAGGTCCACTTCCAAGAATGTATCCCTGGGATATGATTCAAGGCACCCATAACTATAACTCTCGAGATATTCCTAGAGTGCTCCTCAATGGATAACGACTCTATAGCTCTTGACCAACTGGAACTCCCTACAGAGGCCTCTACAGTGGAAGTCCCCTATAGCAAATACGAAAATAATCTACTGGCCATAATGCATGATCATGTTATAGCACATATTATTGCATCCAACAACTTTCAACCACTACCCCATTGAGCATGGTGGGGCACACACGGGGATTAACCCCAGTACCAAGGGATTACCTGTTAGAAGCTCCCAAGCTAGGTAACTTCAATCACAAGTTACCCTACAACTTCAACTTTCACAGGAAATGCCTACAACAGATGGTCACTCTCACAATTACAATGTGCTATATGATAACTCAATTAATTATCCAATTAACCACACAACAAGGTAAGTCATCACTTACCAAAATCCTATTGATCAAGGACCAAAGGCAATCCAAAAGCTCCTAGTGTTAATCTTCTATGATTGTGTCCGAGCGAGGCAACCTACAATAATCACACACACACGATCATCAATCCACTTGTCCAACAAGTCATAATTGAAACAACACAACATCACCCCCTCACACATCACTTATGCTTTGGCCATTAAGGCCCTAACTACCCATATTTTGTTGTTAATTTTATTCAACCATTCTTATAATTTCCTTAGTCATTTACAACACCATACCAACCCACATTTGCATTACATCATCACTTAGCACAATTTTTCCTTACTTAAGCTAACAAGGTCGTGGGTTTAGCCTCCTAGGGGCATTTTATGGTCTCAATCATCATTAATCATCAATGTGAGCATTTAATTCCAAAGGAAAACTACCACTTAAGGTCCCCAACTACCTCAATCAACCAACACATGCTTTAGGTCTTCACATTTATGATCTCAATCAAAACTCAATAGAAATGGAATTACTTACCACCAATGGCTTCCTAAGGTTCAAGGGAGTGATGTACTAGACTTCAGGCAAGCCAAACCTCTATTAATGGTCACACCAAGCTTCAACTTCGTCCTCCAATGGAGCCAAGGATCTCCTCACACAATGATTTTCAAGAGAAATACACAACATGAAAGTTATTCATTGGATGATTTGGATGAAATTTCATGTGAATTGCTAAGTGTATAGATGAAGAAATTGGAAGCAAAATTTGTCCCCCACACATGGTGATGGCCGCGGGTTTTGAAGAGAGAGAGGAGGGAGGAAGATGAATGAATAGTGTAGGACATGTGGTCTAAGTTGGTTTAAGTAGGGTGGGTCCCATATGCCACCTCACACACTTCAAATCATCCACTAATCTCCAATTAATTCATGAACTATCCATTAAATAAAAAATTTAACATTCACCATAGTCCTTTAATTATCCTTGAACAGATAAGTCTGGAGTTTCTCAGTAATTTAGTGAAATTACTGTTTTACCCCTAGTGGTGCATCATTGGCACGTTTCCCCAAAATCCTAAAATCCATCAAATTATACCACTAATCATATTTCTTGATCCTAAGTATCTTTTCCAACATATATTCAATCCTAGAGCACTAATCTCACTCTTTGCATTTTTCGATGCAATTGTATCATAGTATTTCATCCGGTAAAAATATTATTCATCACTTTTCCAGAAACTTCCCTGACAACTCAATTTTTCATTCTGAATCTATTTTCAATATTATTTTCATCATTTGAGGGAAAATTCTATCATTTTATAATTTAAGGTTACGTATTTATTGATTTACTGTTTTACCCTTCGTACGTATTTTGACTTAGAATTTAGGATTTTCACTAAGCATATCCTTTAACCCTCAATTTAACTATTAACATGTATTTTAAATATGTGAAGTGTTATAGTTGGTCCTTCCCAAACCTTCACGGGTTCTATTTACAAAGACATATAAAGGGACATGTAATCTTTAACTGAAATGATTAATGCTCAACTCTATTAGCGCCCAAATTATGTGGGTTTTGTATGTGAAATATTCTGTATTGCAGAGCTCAAGTCATGATAAGACGTTTCTTACCCTATAATCATTCTGATCCCCTTGTGTGTCAGTCACATCAGAATCATTCAGTAAAAGATTACATATTATGTTAATATCTATTTGGTACCAAATGAATTCCTTAGTCCTATGGTCTTGATTTTAAATCATTCTTATAACTAATACAAATAAATTAATGAAATTCATAAAATCAATGATATCAGATAAACCAAAAGAGAGAACAGATGCATAAAAATATTTGGAAAGAGTAACGACACCTTCACAACTTTTCAAGAAATAACTTTAAAATACCAACTTTAAATATAAAATAGAAGAAGATAAATGAAAATAGGAAAATGAAGTTTTACTCCCACCGATATTACCTTACTTTTTCTTTCTTTTCCTCTTCCTCTTTCTTTCTTTCCCTTTCTCTTTCTTTCAGTGTACTCTCTCTCATATCTTCTTATGCCTAGGTTCTGGGGGGGGGGGGAGGGGGGTTTATATATGATTTCAAAAAGGAATCTTAATCATTACCTTTATAAAATTATCAGGAATCTTAGTCATTACTTTTATAAAAATCTTAAAATTAATCATTATTTGTCTTAAATATCTACAATATTTTACATTTTATTTATGATTATTATTTTGAAATATTAAAAATATCCTGTAAAAAAATTAATGTGTATCAATTTCAAATTCATATATTGACACGGGATACGATAATTTTTTTTTTCTAACACTTATATTAGATTAGGATTTTAAAATATTTTTTTGAGATAATTTTTTTTATAGATTTTGAAAGACTATTTAGAATTGGATGGACTTTAAAAACTTTGTTTACAATCAAGATTTCATAAATATTGGATTTTAAATTATTTTAATTATAAGATTTGAAAGGACAATATGAGTTTATAAGATTTTAAAAAATCCTATGAATTTTTAACAAATATTCAAAATTACAAGAGTCAATAAAAAAATAACAAATAAATGCAATTATATTAATAAAAAAAAGTAAAACCTAATATAATTTTCTTAATTAGTAAAACATAATATAATTTTTAACAAACATTCAAAATTACTAAGCAACAACTCTCCACATATCTAAAGCTATACTAGTCCTCTATGCATTATCATTTTCTCGTTCCTGCTCTTGGGTTTGACCAATAGGTTGAAAATTATCTTATTCATTTGATATCAGAGCTATACATATATGATTATAAGACCCGATTTTTATTTAGTTATTAAAATAATTCTAAATTTGTTTACCAAAAAAAAAAATTCGAAATTTGCATATAGAACCTAAAGTTCATGATAAAATTTCGTTTGGAATTTTTTGCAGTTGATTTTGAAAACCTTTGGATTTTTTTCTATGTGATGAGAGTTTTCTACTCATATATCGTGTGCATGTTTTCATTAAGTATTCTAAGAAAATTTCAAAACTGAATTTCTGAATTTTATTACATGAAAGTTTAGAAAATATCTCAAATTATTTTCAATCGATACATTGAAACATTAAATTGCTTTGAGGCTTTTGAAAAACAAGTTTTTAGTTATCTATTGACATAAAAATTATTTGAAATTGTTTCCTATAACAAATGAATTTCGTTCATGAATGTATTGTTATGAAATATATGGTTTATATTATGAAAGTTTCAATCTTTCTTTAAATTGATCTTGTTACATTAATGTAAAACGAAAATTGGTTTGAGGGTATTAGTCCCTTATCGTTTTTATATTGTTTTATATTATTTTTAATACAAAAATCATATCTTTTTTGCCAAGAAAATAGCGACCTATAGCTTGAAATTTTTTTTTTTAAATTTCCAAAAGCTCTAAAAAATCTGTTGTTTTTTAGATGGATTATATTATAATTATGTTGCTTTGTTGTTTCTGGGTTGTTTTGTGATGAAAATCACTCAAAAATCTGTTATTTTTGAGCTTTGACGAAGCTCCCATAGTGAAACCTGATTTTGAGCGGGTCAATCAGTTAAAGGAAGAAGAAAACACTGCAATAGAGAAATCTCAAGAAATATAGAGTTTAGGGTGAAATTGTGAGAGATGCATCATATTTATATTTCTTATTAAAAGTCTCACGAAATTAACACCAATAAAAAATTCATTAAAATCGTCAAATTTTTAAATACCATAAGATTGTTTTCCCTTTTATTTAAAATTTTGATTGAATACCAACAAATTTGAATAAACTCTAAAATACCGGTTAACTTTTTTATTCAAAAATAATCCATTAAAATCCAGAATTCAACACGCCCCTATGTATTTTAAAACGGATCCTCCCTAACGCAGAATTTTTCGTCCGGTGTTTGTGGTCAGTGGTTCGTTTTAAAAGTTGCCGCCTCTAGTTGCACTCCTACTTCTGACAAACGCAATGAAATAACCAGAGAAATGACAGATGAAAAATTCTTGGTTTTCCAACGAACAACTCATCAAGCTCAACCACTTGCTTGCAAAGCTCACTCGCTCAAACCAATACACAGAGTCTCTCAAACTCTTCACCCAAATTCACTCATCACACACTCTGAGACCAGACCACTACACCCTTTCAACAGCACTCACTGCCTCTGCCAACACGCGCCATGTCACCTTCGGGAACCAGCTTCACTCCCACGCCATTCAAACAGGCCTCAAAGCCCATTCCCATGTTGCAAATTCCTTGCTTTCTCTCTATGCAAAATCTGAACACCTTGCTTCTGTTGAAGGTGTCTTTGCAGAGATACAAAACCCAGATGTGTATTCGTGGACAACACTGCTAGCTGCTTTAACTAGGCTGGGACACGTTGATTATGCCCTTCAAGTGTTTGATGAAATTCCCATGAGAAACGTGGCTATTTGGAATGCCATCATTACTGGTTGCGCGGATAATGGGCATGAAGGTTTTGCTATGGACTTGTTCAGGGATATGCATAGGATGGGTGTTAGGCCTGATAATTACACCTTTGCCAGCATGTTGAGTTTGTGTTCTTTGGAGCTTTTGGATTATGGAAGGCATGTTCATGGATTAGTTATCAGAAGTGGTTTCTTGGGTAGGAATTCTGTGGTTAATTCTCTGATCACTATGTATTTTAACTGTGGGTGTGTTGTGGATGCTTGTGAGGTGTTTGAGGAAACAGAAGCTGCCCTGCGGGATCATATTACATATAATGCAATGATAGATGGTTTTGTAACTATGGATAGAAATGAAGATGCGTTTATGATGTTCAGAGAGATGCAACGGGGTGGTTTTGGTGTAACGGAACTTACCTTTGTGAGTGTCATGAGCTCTTGTTCATCTTTAAGAGTTGGCTGTCAAGCACAAGCACATGCTATCAAAACGGGTTTTGTTGCTTTTGCTGCTGTGAACAATGCAACGATGACCATGTATTCCAGCTTTGGGGAGGTGAATGAAGCTCAAAATATTTTTGAGAGAATGGAAGAAAGGGATCTTGTTTCATGGAACATAATGATTTCAACATTTTTTCAAGAGAATCTTAAGGAAGCAGCAATATTAATCTATCTGAGAATGAGGAGAGCTGGAATTGAACCAGACGAATTTACTTATGGAAGTCTGCTAGCTGCCTCAGACTCTTTGCAAATTGTGGAGATGATCCACTGCCTCCTATCCAAAAATGGGCTTATGAAAGTTGAAGTTTTGAATGCATTAATTTCTACATACTGCAGACATGGAAAGATAAAGCGGGCCTTTCAAATTTTCTCTGATCTTCCATATCAAAATTTGATATCCTGGAACAGTATCATATCTGGGTTCCTGATAAATGGATGCCCTCAGCAAGGGTTAAAGCAATTCTCTGCATTGCTTAACACACATCTCAAGCCAAATGCCTATACCCTCAGTCTTATTTTGAGCATTTGTTCTAGCATTTCCACCATGAGTCATGGGAAACAGGTTCATGGTTACATACTACGACAGGGTTTTTCTTCAGAAATTTCTTTGGGTAATGCCCTTGTGACAATGTATGCTAAATGTGGATCTTTAGACAGGTCTTTGAAAGTATTTAATGCAATGGTTGAAAGAGATACAATCTCTTGGAATGCTCTAATATCTGCTTATGCGCAACATGGAGAAGGCGAAGAAGCCGTGTACTGTTTTGAGACAATGCAAATCTCACCTGGAATCAAACCAGACCAGGCTACGTTTACTGCAGTTCTTTCAGCTTGCAGTCATGCAGGTTTAGTTGATGATGGTACCCGTATTTTTGATATGATGGTGAAAATTTATGGACTTCTGCCGAGTGTGGATCATTTTTCTTGCATAGTTGATCTGCTGGGTCGCAGTGGATACCTTGATGAGGCAGAAAGAGTAATTGAAAGTGGGTGCTTTGGAGCACATTCCAATATCTGCTGGTCATTGTTTAGTGCTTGTGCAGCTCATGGTAATATAAGACTAGGAAGAACGGTTGCTAGACTTCTCTTGGAAAGAGATCATAACAACCCATCAGTTTATGTGCTCTTATCAAACATCTGTGCTGCTGCAGGCCAGTGGGAAGAAGCAGCTAATCTGAGAGATATGATGAGAGACTTTGGGTCCACAAAGCAGCCTGGCTGCAGTTGGATCAGAACCTAAAACTTGCAAGTTATAGCTGCTTGTAAATGTATAAGCATGGGCATAATGTGATCGAGTTCCTATACGGAGTTATTTTTAATAGACTCAACTGTAGAGGATGATGTAATATGCAAGGTATTCAAATATGCTTATAGAAAACTGGATTTTTGCATCTCTGGGTATATAGTTTCCTATCTTTATCTTCTCTCAGCGAAGATTAAAGTAGCCAAAGTTTGGATCTTTTCTGCTTGAGGGCAGTGATGGTGGTGCTGAAAGCGAGATGAGTTTGTAGTGATGGTTTTCAAAGATCTGGGTGGCCGCGTAATGAAACATCGTAAGGAATTTTAGGCTTTATTGTGGAGCTTGTATCATTTCTACCTTTTTTTCATCGACCTTTGGCTTCAAGGCAACATCAAAGGTAAATGTCAATGACTCTGGCTCTATTCTTCTGTGTTATTTGGGCTTCCTTTTGTTATGTTTTGATTGGGGAATACAAGTTGAAAGCAAGGGAAGGAATTTATTGGTGATTACTTTATAGAATGCAATACTGTAATGCAGCATCTTTATTACAAGTTATTTTAAACAATCATTCATTTTTATGTGAAATTTGTTAGGCTGTGTTTTCCTTTAACAATGGTGGAGGGAACATTGGTGTTTCTCCCATGTGCTCCGATTTGAAAATATTTATTGAAGATCTACTCATTTAAATTAATATCAATCTGACACACATTGGTGATGTTTCCATGATTGTATCTCATTAGTAAGAAATAGTAATTAAAATTCTTATGCTTTGATGATGATCAATCTGGTAGATTTGTTTATTAAGAACTGCACATAAATTTCATGTAAATGCAAGATTTAGAAACTTAAAATAGAAAAAGAGAAAAAGAATAATTATTTGAATGACAAACAGGTATATTATAGTAGTTTAGGGTCAACCTTGACATATTCAAGGCACAACCAAGGAATTAAACAGGTGGTATGCTTGTTTACTTTTCCTCTACAGAATATGTAATAGATGCTACGTGAAGGTTCTGCATGAAGAGTATGATTGTCAAGCTTACTCACAAATTGCACTGTGACTTCAGGTGTGACTCTCTGCCCATTGGTCTTTGGGCTACACAATATTTGGACATATCACTGTGTCGTGAGGTGCTTTCCTTGGCTTCAACCTCTCAAGTTCTTGCTCATTGATTTAAATTTAAGTGTTTCCTCGTATTGATTTCCCTAACATACAGATCTAAAAAATTAGTGCCTTTACTAAAGCCTGTAATGTGCACATGCATACTGCCGGTGCTGTTGATTTCGGGGCCAGTGTTTGGTATTGTTGGAAATATTGTAAGTGGGCAGCCTATGGATTTCTTTCGCCAATATTTGCCACTTCTGAAGCTGTAAAGGGAGAATTTGTATACTCTCTCAAGTCTCAAGAGGCAGAATGGTTTCAAGAAACTACTGGTCAGTTAAAGTTTGACCTGCCACATATAGCTATTTTCTGAACCATCTAGTCCTTGAAATCATAGACGGCACTGATCTTGTGTATTTCGTATTTAGTTTTGTTGACCTGGTCTGGTGATTTTAATCATGCTTCATTTGCATGCCAACATAATTATAGCAAAGCTAAGGTAGACTGTCATAGAAAATATTGACTGAAGGCATTCTTACCTGGCAACATTTTTGAGAATGACAATTCTTTCGTGGGATACACAGTTCCAATTAACAAGTAAAATCTGACGTATGGAAATTTTTATGACCAGTATGTTTCTAACCATTAACTGTTACCGTCTAAATCTGCTACCTTACCAATTTGGCTAAGCAGGTGAAACTATATAAGTTGTTTTTCTTTTGTTTTTTCTTTTGCATTTTGTGTTTTAGTTGTATCTTTGGTTTATGCTAGATTTAACCAAAGATTATCCAACTATTTCTCTTTGGAAAGTCGAATAATTGAGCTGTATTGGTAGATTTTGGGAACTTTAAATCAAAATAATATTGTGTCTTTAAAAAAGTCTTATAAATAAACATGACTCATGATATTCCACATTTCGTATGGTGTTTTCTGATGCAGAGGAGTTATGGTACAGTATAGTCTGCTGCAAAAATTCAATGATGTTTCTTTTCTCTGTCTTGATGCAGGCCACTCTCTCTTACTGGAGCTGATGTAAATGCAGTTCTTGGGAACATGGTTAATATTCCGGCTGTATCATTTCTTTCCATATGCAAAGGCCCTTATGCATTTTAAAGGGTGGAATCATTATTTCATAACATCATAGGTTGAAGGTCCTTTCTTGGAAAGTTTACTAATCCAAAATGCTTAAATATACTATCTGACACGGATGCATACCTCACTCATAGTCTTTGCTAAGTTGTGTGGTCTATATGTGAAATGCAGAATAAAATAAATCTTTTCATATATACTTCTTATTGTTAAACGAGGGTCTTTATCTAGTTTATTGTTAAATTAGCTAACAACTCATGCTTGGTATGCCTAAGGGTACACGTATCAAGCAACTCTCGCTTCATAGATGTTGCTATGAACCAAAGTTTTCACCTTACATGTACCTTAATTTGTGGTTAAACATTTATTGGTTGTTGGTTAGACTTAATGAGTTTCAACACTAAATAATTATTGGTTCAAGTCGGAAGGAGTTCCTCCTTAACCAGAGGTGTGAATGTCACATTTTCCCAAAAATTTTTTTTTTTTTTTCAAATGACATGTGAATAATATTTTTTTATCAGATTGTTACTTGTCCAAATTCGTTATCTGTCATAATGAACTTGGTTAGACCACGTGGCACGTTTCAATTAGCATACCAAGTTCGCTATTAGTGATAGCGAACTTAGTCACTTATGATTTCGTGATACGTGCACACTTTGCAAAAAAATGCTGATTGGACTAATAGCGAATTTGGTATACTAATGTAAACGTGCCACGTGGCTTAACCAAGTTTACTATTATTGGTAGCGAACTTAAATGTGTGGTAATTTGATAAAAAATACTATTCGCGTTGCATTTTGATAATTTTTTTTTAAAAATAAGGCACGTAGGTCATTGTTCCAATTTTAGGAGAATCATCCCTTATAATTAATTGGACAATATTCAGATCAGATTAATTGAATAATAGATGAAGTGATGGATATACATAAAAATCAACAACTAATAAATCTGTTATCACACATCATGATAATCATATCCTCAGGAGGACCATAGTAATTTCCTAGCTTGACATTATAAGGGGGTGTTTGGTAGGTGGCTTCTTGTGGAATGGCTGGGTAAGTTAGGGTGGGAATTGATTTATGCCATGTTTGGTAGAGGTTTTGGGGAAATAAAACCAGACAACAATGTTACCTATGCAAATTACCCATGTGTGTAAAATCATGCAAAAAACACTATTCCGAAATACTCCTTGGAGGTGGTATTTGGGAGAAAACTACGGAAGTGAAGTTATTGGCACAAATTTTTTACGGAAATGCCCTCGTGCAAATGTAATCTGAGAGACTTTGTTCTCTGTCAATTCCTTTCAAAGAAATAGCAGTAATGAAACTCCCCATTTTGGTACAGAAGGTTGGGATCATCTGGCAAGATTTCCTTCTTCTTGTTAACAACTGCAACAATTACTTGGTCTAAACGAACTATAAAGGGCTCCTTTCAGGTTTCACAGTCTTAAATAGTGGTGAGCCCAACACAAAGCAGAAGAGGGATATAAGGATGGCAATGAAAGGGATCCCAACGTTTTATGTGGGTGTTTACTACAAGTTCAGACCACTGTTCTTTGTGTGCCAGAGTGATGGTGCCTGACTTCCAAAGGAGAGACACAACAAATGGAGAACGAAAGACGACCATTGTATTTTTGGATTTTCGTTATATTTCTCCTCTATATTTTACTTTCAACCAAACATAGACATAGTAAAATTAAATCAATTTTCTTGGTAATATTCTGGCCTACGAAACACTTTTTTTAAACTTGCCTAGTAAATTTACTTTCTCACAATTTCCCCATTAATTTTATTTCTCTAGTAAAAAAATTATCTCCTCTACCAAACGCCCTAAAGTTAAATGTCATAAGCAAAGTCAACAAAATGAGAAGTTTTTTATGTATTCTTAAATACTATCATTAGTCTGATAAAAACATTTCAAGTGAAATGTATTATCATAAATGTCGTTAAGTTAAGTTTAAAACAATATTTGAAATCAGAGTATACTTTAGAATTTCTCCCACAAAAGAGATTGTCACACGCACATCATAAAATTTATGCTGTGTTAACAAAAATAAAACAAAATATTGCCACGTCAAATTGAATCTTTGTAGACTTTTTTTTTTTTTGGTGAAAGGAAGGGCTTAACAGCCCAAAAAACAACTAAACAATGTAAACATTCTTAAGGCTAGAAACAACACAAATATCAGCAAAAAATAAACAACTAAGCCCAGGAGGAACATGACTAAACTCCTTATACAAAGAGTTCTGGTTGAAACAAATCAAATGGTTGGCAAGCCAATCAGCACACTGATTTTCTTCACGGTGGATGTGTTGAAGTTGGAGATCCAATTCTTTATCCAACCAAGTCCGAATGCGAGTAACAATATGAGACTCTCAGACATCATTACCTTTATTGGTAAGCAACGTGATCACCGAAGTGGAGTCACTTTCAATTATAAGTTTCCTAAATCCTTTGTTCCAAGCAAATTCCAAGCCTTTCAAAATACCCCATAACTCTGCTGTAAAAGCTGATGCAATGCCCACATGATAAGCAAAACCCCCCAGCCATTGACCATCTGATCCTCTACATAAACCCCACATGCAGCTACTCCTGGAGATCCTTTGGCTGCACCATCTGTATTTAATTTTATCCAGCCATGATCTGGTGGATGCCAAGCAATTTGCAACTGCACTAGCATGCCAGTTTTCTTCTTATTTTCGTTGACACCGAAAGCATGTTCAATATCCATAGCCATGTGATGTACCTTATTAACAATGAGATCTGCATTAATACCTTCTTTCCCATGATAAACGACATTTCTTACATT